CACACGTGCCCAGTGTGAGTTTTAAGCCACCGGGTCCAGGACATGGGAGTCCAGCGACATAGCCATTACGCTAACTGCTGGCCCCAAGGGAGAACATCTTTGTGGTCTAAGAATAAGAAAATATGTGACACAAATAAAAATAACTAAATATAAACGAGCAAGTGGCAAATTATACATAAAAGAGATTTTTGCTATAGGGCGTGTGTGCTCGCCAGAAAACCAGAGAGAAAGCGAGAAGTCACCCCCCAGGGGGGATGGCCATGCCGCAATCCCTTCTCCTCCATTCTCCTCTCGGGATCTTGGGCATGCACGCACACGTGCCCAGTGTGAGTTTTAAGCCACCGGGTCCAGGACATGGGAGTCCAGCGACATAGCCATTATGCCAACTACTGGTCCCAGCAAGACCTTACTTAAGACAAAGCCAGACTTGGGGGCCCATTCCTATTGTCCCAGCTGGGAGGCTGAGGCAGGAGGATTGCAACATGGTGAGATCCTGAATAGGAATAGATAAAATAAAAAATTAAATACAGAACAAATTTTAAAATGTTGAGCAAAAGCTAAAAGGTTTGTGTTGGATTGAGATTATATTATTCGAACTGAGGTTAAAAGCATTAGATAACTGTTATCTGGTAGTTAAAAACTGTATGCTGTAATTATTAGGTTAAAAATTAAGAGATGAGGAATATATAATCTCCTAATAAAGAAATATAATAAAGGTTATTTTATAATTAATATAGCTGAAGATAGGATAGAAAAAATGAGACTCTATATCAGGTATAATAAAGACCACAGTATAAATTAATAAATCTAATCATCAGAATAACCATTATTATGTTACACATAATAAACTAATTATTCCTGTAATGTCAAACATGTTTTACTAAGTTCAATTAAATACTTTTTCAAAGAGATATAGCTGGGGGCGTGGCGGTGCCTGCGCCTGCGCGAGGCCTGTGTGCCCCCCCGCCACCCGCCTGCGCAGCCCGGGCTCTGCTCTGGGTTCCGCTGCCTCTCCGGGGCTGGCGTGTGGGCCCCGGGCC